AGCAACAGCATTAGCAACAACAGCAACGAGCATTAACGAGGTGAAGAAAATGAAGAAGAGGATAAAGACAGATGAACTTTTGTTAGATAAATATCCAAACAGCTTTTAACAACAGAAAATAATGAAACTGTTTACAAAAATATGTCAAAAATTATTTTGGAAAAGAACAAAACTAGTCTGCAAATTTTTTTTTTTTTTTTTTGCCAAATTGAACTGTTGTTTATGGAACTGAAGTAAAGCTCTAAAATAAACTACTTTTAAATGAAAAACTGATTTGAAAAGAAGTTTTTTTTTTTTCATTTATTTCTGTTTCTACTGTTCACATTATTTTAATCAATCAACAACTAACATTCAATAATTGTCAATACATATTACTGCTGTTTTTTGCTGTAATAATTACATGTTTTTTTTTGCCTTCTTATAAAAAAGTTTTATAGAAAAAGTTAAATTTTTTCTCTTTTATTATAACTCAACAACTTTCTTTTTTTTTTTTTTTTACTTTTGGTAGATATGATGTGAATGATTTAAAAGGGTTTAAACTGCTAAAGTCATCGTATTGTTGGGTGTAAAAAAGCACGAGTCAGCCAATTGTTTGAGACTGATTAAAGCATAAGTTGCTGTTTTCTGTTCCGGACAGAATAAGACTCTATAATTTCTTTTTTTTTTTTCTTCATTCTTCTACCGCTAATCTATCAATAACAGACTTTCATCTTTCTGAAATTAAAATACATTTACAACAACATTGCTTTTGCCATCAACCTATTATTAATACGCAGATTGCCTGCATCACATTCCATTTCCATCAGTTGTTTGTTCGATATTCTATTACTAGCAAATTAGTCCAACTTTCTCTGCTTTTTTTTTTTTTTGCTCATTTTACCAACTTTTATTTGACTGACCCACTCTTTATACACCGATCTTAATAGCAACAAAAAGCAATAAGAAAAAATTAATTAAAAAACAATTTTTTTTGAGTCTAATAAACTGCTATGATAGTTTTGATTTTTTTTTTGAGATAACCAAACCTTTGAGCTTGTGATATCTATAGATTGTTCAAAAATTAAACACCACTATAAAAACTTGCTCTTGATTGCTCTTAATATATCGCTTAACTTGTTGCTTTCTAATCTTTTCACTTATAATTGATGCATATTTGTGAAGAAAGTTCTTTTTTTTTTTTCAAACTCATAGAGTCTTGATGTTTTACTGCACTGAACAGATTAGTTTCAGTGACGTTTAACTGAACAACAAGTAACTGACCTCTTTCAGAGCCTCCAATCCCATATTATCTACATAGGAAATGGCACCGCAGTCGATGATAATTGTTGATAATGAATTCTTCACAGTTGAAGTCTGCAAAATAGTGTCATCAACATCCGGTTTCACCTTCTCTTTTTCTTGATCAGAGTTAATCTCGGAACTCTCAGGTTTTGGATTTTCGGTAATGTTGATTCCAACCTGAAAGCATTTTAAAGACGTATACTCTCAATTTAACTACTAAGGAAAAAAAAATTTCTATAAAAAATTTTTTTTTAATGTGTGTATTTGGCTTATTACAGTTTTTGCCTTTCATTTGTTCCTATGTAAATTGATATTACACAGGTTAAAAATGATTGACAAAAACAACAATCATAATCGACTTGACACTGCTACCACAGTAGTAATAATTATTTTTTTTACCACAAGAAAATTATTATTCTATATCAAACGACTCAAATTCAAAAAAAAAAAAAATAATAATAATAATAATAATAA